TCGTAACGGACAAATTAACGCTGATTCCTCTTCCGGTAGAAAATCAGGGCCGTGACAATAAGTGAAGGTTAAATATGATTTTTTCTCTTCTCATAATTATAATTTTTTTTTTTCTCAAACTTAAATTGATCATTGGATATATATACAATATTTTTCACTCTCACGTCACACTTCTTTGATGTCCAACAATTTTTCTGTTTTTAATTGATTTATTTTATATAACTTCTTTTTGTCATGCGTTTAGAACTTCGAACTTTTTATATAATAATATAATAATAAATAATTTCTAATAATTTTTATATTCATTATTTTAATCTTATGATTAATTGATTTAAAAATTAGTCCTTATAGGCAAATTTTGTTTATTGTATTTTTTTCTAATTTGATTAATAACAGAATAAAAGACTTTCATACTTTTTGAATGTCCGAAATATGTTTTTTGACTTTTCTATATTTGCTCTGTAAATTTGAATTAGTGTGAATTCATTCACTAATTATTAGTAAAAATTTCTACTAATTTCTGGTCATTTTTCACTACAATTTTAGTAAAAAAAAAAAAAAAAAAATATTACTGTAAATCAAAAAAAAAAAAAATACACAAATAGATATATTACTAAAACTTATTGAAAATTTCTACTAATTTTTATTCATTTTTCATTTAAATTCTAGTAAAAAAAAATATATTACTATAAATTAAATAAAAAATAAAAATAAAAATTTACTACAAATTAGCGAAAATTTCTAGAAATTTCTATAGTTGTTTTTCCCTAAAAGTTTAGTAAAAAAATATTACTATAAATCAAATAAAAATAAAAATTTACTAAAAATTAGCGAAAATTTCTACAAATTTCTTTAGTTGTTTTTCCCTAAAAGTTTGGTAAAAAAAAATATTACTATAAATCAAATAAAAATAAAAATTTACTACAAATTTACTAAAAATTCGTGAAAATTTCTACTAATTTGAGTGATAAATGTCAATATTGCCCCATGATAAAAATCTAATAAATTCTTTCTTTTGATTCGCAAGCGGATATTAAATATATAATACTCTTTCTTTGTTTATGTTTTTTATTATGTAAAAAATTATTGTAAAGTTTACAAAACTTAAAGATATCTTCAAGTTTTGCAAACTTTACAATGAACTCAGGAGTCATATAGCTACTGTGCTGACACTTGTTGAATACTTAAAAAGCCTATATGTATATACTAAGAGCAGATTTCTAGAATTAATGTTGTAATAAAATGAGAAGACGAAAGACAAACATTTGATGATATAATCATCATATAATTTCTGTCAAAAAGTTGTCGTTTCACTCCACATAATAATAACAAATATTTTCTTCGCGCTTGTTAATTTTGAAAGAAAAGTAACAATTTTTGACTTAAATTCAGCCTTTCTGGAGTTCAATTATATCATTAACATTCTACCAATTTCATAATAAAATATTGAAAATAATTTAAATAAATGATCCCATAGTTAATAAACAATTTAAATAATTTTTTTATTAAAAATTATTGATTTTTTCCAATTTTTTTTTCAAATTTAAATATTTATATTTATTATTTATTTAAATTTATTTATTGTACTTATCAATTTGAAATTGTGTTAAATAAATATAAATATTCCATTATATAATTGATCACTTTTGTCAACGATTAATTGATATTGATTTTTTTTTTGTAGATTTTTGAAATTTTTGTAAATTTTTTTTTTTTTTTTCTTGAAATATAAATAATGAATCAATAAGAAAGTGACTTTTATGAAATAAAATAAACTCTTAACAACTTGTTACTGTTAAGACAGTGGGAGAGATCTGATGGGGTTCCATTAATAAACCAAATCAGGTCCCCCTCTGTCAACTAATAATTTCTGTTACTATATTAAGCCAAGGGGACTTCGAGTGAAGAAAATATATAGTTGATTGACCCAACATAATCATTCTTTTGTATACTTGCGTGTGTATTTTTCAATTAATTTCTAAATTATTTATAAAAACAGGGAAGTTGACTTTTTTCTTTTTCATTAATTTACAGAAATTTTGCATAAATAATCAGTAAATATTAACAAATAAATTAATATTGCAAAATAAATAATTAATTTTTAAATAAATTATTGAATAAATAATTAATGGTAAAATAAATTAAATAAATATTTAATTAAATTATAGAAAAATAATTTAAAAAGATTGATAAATAATTTTTTTTTTCATAAAAAAAAAAGTTTCATTTGTTTAAAAAAAGAGAAAATTTCCTCTTTAGTATGAATTTTTTTTTGATAATGAATTAGAAAAATTCGATATAAGATTCACATATTGTTATGTAAGTTAAAAGAGTCAGTAATTAAATATATTATTGAATCATTGATGCCATAAAGGCGTTGAATATTCACATGTTATTTGCCGCATTACCCGAGCGCATTCACCCGTATCTCCATAAAAAAAAAGTCCTAGGAGCAAAATAGTGCAAAAATATTCTTTGAAAATAAAACTAATAACACGTTTCATGGCACTTTCCTCCGTTCTTATCGTCTATAATTCTACTTTGCCCTGGAAGATTAGTTTTATTGATATTAGAAAGAAAAGACCAATCAAGAAAACGGGGAATTCCTGGTTCAAGTAACGTTACTAAATTTCTTCAGTTCTACAAATAGAAAAACAAAATTCTCAAATTATCGACAATATTATTTTTCATATATAGTAAATAAGTACTATCTCTTTTTGACCTTCATTACTTTATTGAATAATTTTTCTTTTTTTTTTTGGAAAATTTTCTAATACAATTTTTTTTTAAATTGTAAAATAAAGAAAGAAAATTTCGAAGATTTTTTTTCATCTTAAATCTTGGGTGGTTTTTTTTTTAAATTTTAGGACTTGACGAAACGTCAATGTTTTTATTTAGAAATATTTAGATTAAAATAGAGAATTTCTTTAAGTGGAAAATGTAAAAATAGTCTACTTTCAAATTAGAAAAACTTAGCTTGTTTTTTTTTTTTTTTTTTTTTTGACACGCAGGAAATCGTTTTAATATATTCAAAGGGGATTTTTTTTAGAAAATGCATTTTTTTAAAAACGACTTTATATTCAATTTACATTTTCTTAAATAATCGCGCGCAAATCATATATATATATATTGAAATAATTCATTTTTACCATTTCCTTTCCTCTTTACAACTGGATCAGTAAGTATATTTGATAACCTAGAACCGGTTGCGTGATATATTTTTTTCTAAACTTTGATATCACAAATAATATCGCGCTTTAGTTTATATATTCTATACAGCTATCTAAAATTCTCATTAAATTCGATTATTATAATACATATAGTGATTTTCTAAACGCTTCTTCAAAATTTTCTCTGTAAATCTTAATTAGTAAAAATGTTTACTAATTTAAATTACTAATTCATTTTTTGCTTTAGAATTAGTTAAATTTTACTAATAAATTTCTAGTAAAATTTACTAATAATTAGTAAAATTTAACTAATTCAGAAGCAAAAAATGAGTCACTAATTTAAATTAGTAAACATTTTTACTAATTCAGATTTAGAGAGTATATATATATTTCTCCATAACTCCAATAATCATAGTATTATTATTATCATATTATTGCTATTTTTATTAATAATTTAATTGAAAATTAATTTAAATTATTGACTGCACTTTTTTTGCTAATTAGTAAAGAATTTTTTTTGCTAATTCATTAGTAAATGATTTTAGGAAAATTTAAATTTTATTTAAAGATTAAATAAAATGAAAATAAATAAAAATTTTATTTTATTGAAAATAAAAATTAGTGAAATTGGTTAAAATTTTTTATAATTCATATTTAGAGCGAGAGAGAGAGAGAGAGAGGGGGGGGAGAGAGTACTCTAAATATAAATTAGTAAATTTTTTTACTAATTAGTAATTTTAATTAGTCATTGAAATTTTGCTTTTGAATTAGTTATAAATAATTTTACTAATTCATTAGCAGATTTTTTTTCATTTATTATTTAAATTTTTCACTAATTATGATTTATATAGAGAGCAACTTTTGACTAATTTAACAATAAAAATTCGTTTATTAAATATATTAATTATCTAAATTTCAATTAATTTTGATAGGTAAAAAGTACTAATTAGCAATAAAAAAATACATAACTAATTAATTTAACGAATTATTCGGCGTTATTAAATTAGTAAAACAGTAATTAATTTAAAATATAGTATAATTGCGTTAAAAAATATAATTATTATTTTTATTTAATTTAAAATCAGTAAATTAAATATTTAGTTTAATTAACATAGTAATTTATTTTTTTATAATTGCAGTAATAGTGATTAATTATTTATAGTTTCAAGTGGCAATTAGAAAAACTATAAATTATCATGTTGAAATGAAATTTGTTACAAAATTCAGTATATTTGTAAAGAATCAACTAATCCAGAAAAATTTCAAATCACGTCGTTTCTTGCGAAAAATAAATATTTTCAGAAATTTTTTTTTATTCCTCTTTGTCAAAAAATACTTGAAAAATCTTTTTCTAAAATTTAAATTCATTTTTTGATTATTGACAATTATCTTTTTTTTCATTTACACATCTAATGAAATTTTTTTAAAACAATATAATATCAAATATATTAAAAAAAAGAAAAAAGAAAGCAATTTCTTTTTGTTAAATTTTATTAATACTGAGACTTTAGAAAAAAAAATTAGAACTCTACTAAATCAAATAGTATACCTATACTAAAAATTAGTGAACGTTTTAATTTTACCAATGAATTAATAAACAAAATTTATTTCTACTGTTTAGTAAAATTTAACTAATAATTTATATAGCAAAAAAAAAAAAAACTTTTTACATATTTTTGTTTTCGAAAAAAGAAACATTTTACAATATTTATTTTATTTTTGGAAAAATTTTATATCCTCTCATTATTTTGACACATTTAATACACACACATTTATTATTTACAAACACAAACAGTTTATATAATGTATAGATATAAAATTAAAACTTGCCTTTATAAATTAGAAGTTGAACAATAATATCAGATCCAAATTGCGAAAATTTTCTGCGTTCGCGCCAAAAGAAACTCGCACGTGGTCAATGAATTCTTATACACTGCTCAATAAAAAATATATATAATTTACAAAATATAAAATCACTATAAAAAGTCGACGATGTTAAACAGTAAAAATATATCTCTTCCTCGTCTTTAATAATTGACGAATCATCTCGTTGGTATTGTTGCACTCACTTTTTTTTTTTAGAATTATTTTATATATATACGCGCGCGAGTTCGACGCACTAAATTATTTAAAATATTCAAATCGTTTGCGGGTGACAAAAAAAAAAAATTTATTTTTGTCCACCCCCCCCACCAATTCAAAATTTCTCTATGAATTATACCGTGGGAAAAATTCACAAAAAATGGAGGAAAAAAAATTAAATTAAAAAAAAAAAAACTGATATACCAAACAAATCGAACTTAATAATTTAAGAAATCGTAACCAATTTCGATGGATCGTTGATGGGCACTGAGCACTCGACGTGCTTTTAGCTCGAGTCTCGAGAACACTATACAGACGTTTACCACTTCTGACTTTCAAAAGTGCGGTTCCCGCCACCGACTATTATGAACCATAGCCAGCAGCTTCTATTTCTCTGACCCTATGGTGGTGGTGGTGGTGGAGGGGGGTGAATTAAAGTTTTTCTTGTCCAATAAGGATTTTCCATTAATTAAGAGATGATATGTGCAACCTACAACTGCAGCAAACTGTACTGTCAGATCGAAATGTTATTTGACACTTTGTTCAGTTTGATGCACTTTATTTCCTGACATGTATATATATATGATGTATTCCACGCCAAAGTGTAAGTCCATCTGCAATTGCATCTCCGATTTTTTTGAGAATTTTTTTTTCTTTTAGTACTAATTGAGAATAGGTTTCCATGAGTTTTTTCAAATTTTTTTAGCAAGCCATTTTCGAGTTATGGAATTTTGAAAATTGGAGAATATTCATGACATTTAATTTCTGAATGCTCGCATAACTTCCTTAAAAATGCATCAATTTTAAAAGTCTTTTTTTCAAAATGTGTGTTTTTAAACGTACTTTTCAACAAAAAAAATCGAAATTTTCTTTAAACGATATTATTATCAAATTTTTGAGTTTTAATGATAAAAAGTCATTTTTTTCATTTGATCGATTTTTTTCAAAATTTTTTTAAATAAACTACTTCTTTTTACGAAACTTTTAAGCCTAGTTCGATAATGAGCAAACAATTTTTACAATATTTTCGGAATTTTTCAAAAATTTTTGAAATTTTTATAAATTCTTTTTGTCTTTTTTTTATACTACGCACTTTTATGTATTTTGATGCGCTAATTGCGAAAATCATATTGACAATATCCCAAAAATTTGATTTTTATGGTGAAAACCATAAAAAAAAGTCCCAAAATTTATGGTTTTTTTTCGTTTATTGGGTAAAATATGTAAAATCAAAAAAAAAAAAATGCACAACATATAAAACAAGTTGTAAATTCAGATGTTCATATTATATGAACATTTTGCTTCCTCTTTACGATCAGCAAAAAAATTTGTTTCCTCGTGGAGAAAGCATTAACATTGAAATAAACATACAAAAATAATATAATAATATAAACATTAGAGTATACCTATACATTTGAGTAAAATTTAAAGAATTAATGGAAGTTAAAAATCAAAAATTCATATTTTAACCGTAATTTCTAAATATTAATGAAAAATAATAAATACTTTATAATTATTTACAATTATATCGATTCGTTTTAATGCAAGGAACACAATTATTTTATATTTAAACTTGAATTTAAATAAATATAAAATTTTTCAGCTAAAATGTTTTTTTTTCTATTTTTTAACTTTCATTAATTTATTAAATTTACCTCAAATGTAAATTTTATATATACCAATCGATTCGTTTTCATGTAAGAAATATAATTATTTCATCTATAAACTTAAATTTAAATAATCACAAAATTTTATAGTCAAAATGTGAATTTTTGATTTTTTAACTTTCATTAATTCTTTAAATTTAAATTGAAACTATAATACTTTATATATATATATATATAGTGATCCATTTGTCTTGACGTAAGGAATACGATTTTATTATATATAACATTAAATTTTTCTATTTAAAAATTTTTTGGAAAAAAGACGATAAAAATTTTTTGGGTATTTTTAAAAATCCTTTGGTCAGATTTGAGATTTTAATATGATAAATGAGCCTACACTTAGAAAAAAGATATGTTTGAACCAAATGTACCATTTTTTTATATTTACCCAATTTTTTGGTTAGTTCAAACAACATTTGTTTAATTCAAATAAATATTTATTTAATCTAAATAACTGTTTGGTTTATTTTAATAAATTTTTTGAACAAAGAAAAAATTTGATTGAGCTAAATAAACGTTTGGTTTATGCAACCAAATGTTTGGTTAACTGTATATCAATGCATTTATTTTGTTGATTTAACCAAAATTTGGTTGCTTCAAACGAATTTTTTTCTGAGTGTACCAAATTTTATCTAAATCCATTAAAACCTGTTAAAGTTATTTTCTAAACAAAAAAGGGATCCACACATACATCCGGACAATTGATCAGAATCTCATATAACATGTTTCTATATAGAGAAAAATTTGTTTTCGACACTTTGAAAATTTTTACAAACGAAAGGACTACAAAGCTTCCTCTACGAGGAAGCAAAATTTCTTTTAATAAGATCTATAACTTTTGTTTGAAAGTTTTTTTTTAATTTTGCATATTTTACACAATAAATGAAAAAAACCATAAATTTTGGGACTTTTTTATATGGTTTTTACCATAAAAATCAAATTTTTGAACATTGTCACACTGAAAAAAAGGTTTGGTATTGACAACAACCAAACGTTTGGTTGGTATTTAAGTAACCAAAATTTTTTTGTTGAATCAAACAAATTTTAATTGTCTCAACCAAAATTTGTTTGACACAAACCAAAATAGAAAAAAACGATTTTTGTTGTCCTAATTAAAGTTTGATTGGAACAACCAAAATTTTGTTGATTCAACAAAAAAAATTTGGTTGCTTAAATACCAGCCAAACGTTTGGTTGTAAATATCAAACCTGTTTTTCAGTGCACTATGATTTTCGTAATCAGCGTATCAAAATAACATAAAAGTACGTAGTATAAAAAAAAACGAAAATATTATTCAAAAATTCAAAAATTTTTTAAAAATTCCGAAAATATTGTAAAAATTGTTTGCCCATTATCGAACTAGGCTTAAAAGTTTCGTAAAAAAAAGTAGTTTATTTGAAAAAATTTTGAAAAAAATCGATCAAATGAAAAAAATGACTTTTTATCATTAAAACTCAAAAATTTGATAATAATATCGTTTAAAGAGATGCAATTGCAGATGGACTTACACTTTGGCGTGGAATATATCATATATATAATTGTTTGTGCAAAATGTTACATATATCTGTACTCAATTCCTGGCGTAACTAAAACAATTTTCCCTTTCTTTATATGTATATAGTGCCATGAACTTTTATATATAAGGTTATATACGATAAGCATTCCCGAAACTCCTCGTCAGCACTTCTGCCATTACTTGAATATTTTTTTAATTTTTTTGACAATTATTAGAATTTCACTTGTTTTTAAATAAAATTTATGTGATTTAAATTTAATACTAAATTAATAAAAATTAATTTTGTTTAAAAAAAGTATTATACAATTTATTTACAATTTTGTCCAACACGGAGAAAAATGTTTAGTGAGAGCGACCAAACTATTTGTTTGAGTTAACCAAAAAATTTGGTTGAGTGTTTTTTTTTTTTATATAACAAAAATGTTTGGTTAGCACAACTAAATTTTTTTATTAGCTCAACAAAAATGTTTGATTGATCATACCAACCGTTTTTTTGTTGTAAAATTAAAAATTTTATTCTACCTTATTTCTTTTCATTTTATTTATTTTTATTTATTTTATTATTTATTTATTATTAATTTAAAAAATTTTTTTTTTTAATTTTGGTTGCGATAAAAAAATGTTCAACCAAAGTATTTTGTTGGCCTAACCAAATATTTGGTTGAGATAACTCTACGACTTTGTTTCAGCAAAACAAAATTTCGTTACAAGAACCAAAATTGCCAATAACTAAACGATTTTGTGTTGCGAACACAAAATCTTTTTTTTTTCAGTGAATTGTAAAATATACTGAAAAAAAAATATTTGATTCAAATAATCGAATAATGAAATAAATATTTACTTGAACCAAATAAATTTTATTTGAATTAAATAAATTGTATTTGAACCAATAAATATTTACTTGAACCAAATAAATTTTATTTGAATTAAATAAATTGTATTTGAACCAATAAATATTTACTTGAACCAAATAAATTTTATTTGAATTAAATAAATTGTATTTGAACCAATAATTTTTGTATTTGAAACAAATACCATTTATTTGTAGTAATTATTTGATAAAAATAAATATTTATTTGATAATAATCAAGTAATCGAGTATTTGAATCAAATAAATTTTTTTTCAGTGTACTTTTATAAAATTTGATCCTAATTTTTTTTTCGTGTACAAAGCCATTATTTCAATTTGTTTTTTTTTTTTGCATTATTTGGGTTCTAAAAATACAAGTTGGTCAAGAAAAAAAACCCCTAATTTTTGATTTTAAAATTTGTATTTTTTAAAAAAATAAAATTTTTTGAAAAGTAGTTTAATTTTAAAAAATCTTAATTTTTTCAAAACTATACTACACTGTATATTCTAAAATAGTCAAAAATTAAGATTTTCTTTTTTTAACCACTTTTTATGTAATTAATTTTTAATGTTAAAATTCTTTTTTTTTACTTCTACTGCAATAAAAATAAGTTTCTGAAAATATGAAACAAAAAAAAAATTCTTTGTTAAAGTTGTAAACAATTTAAATTTTTTGCTGTCTTAAATTAAAAAAAAAATATGTTCTCGAGATCCAGTTGACAATATTAAGAAAAAAAAAATTTTTTCTCATCATGAAACGTAATAGTAATTAAAAATAACTTTAAGAAAATTATTATTTTAAACAATTTATTAAATTGTTTGTTTATAAAATGTTAATAATTTTTTTTATTTTTTAGAATTTTATTGAAAAAATTGTAATTTTTCAAAATAATAACAAATTGCAAAGAAAAAAAAATATTATATTTTCAAAATATGAAATTAATTTTTCAAAACAGGAACATTTCTTTCGTTTAATTTTTATTCATTTTGTTTTTCCCCATTATTAATTATTAGTGACAATAATTCACATGTCAGATTTTTTTATTTTGTCAAAATGCATAATAATAATAATAATAATAATAATAATAAATTATATTTATTGAAACTTTTGTCTGAATCAATTCACCTCATATATCAAATATCACGTTTTTTCATATACGTAAATAAACAAAATCAGTTTTCAGAAAATTCATCAGGAAGTCCCAATTTTTTAAGAAACAATATACTGAACCGCGCAAAATTTTATTTAAGTTAATTCAATGTGTTATAACTTAATTATAACATGATTTTTATGAATATATTATAAAATTAAATAATAAAATATTTTTTGGGGATAATCTTCGTGTTTCTATTAACTCAAAGAAAACCGCGCGAGTTCATCATTGTAATAAATAAATAAATATTACTTTTCCAAGAAAAAAAAAAGTATTTTTTTTTTCATAATTATTTCTCTATATTATTTATTTAATTATTTATATCTTATATTTTGTTATAATTTTTTAATTCTTTTTTTTTATTATATTGTTTTATCAAAATATAAATTCACATATATCAGCAATTATTTCTTTTTAATGCTTATATGAAATTGTTTAATATAACACTTAGTTTACATGCTTATAGATAACAAAATGAACAACATATTCCCTATATTGTATTATCTTTAACTCGGACTTTCAACTGAACATATTTTCTTCATGAAACTGCGTCGAATCATATCACTATATATACTTCTAAAAGAAGTTTACCATATATGGAAAAAGAATTTGAAGCAAAAATTAATTTTGATTGAAAAAAAAACAAATTTTTTTAAAAATAATTACAATGAATATAAATATATATAATAAATAATTATATTATATTATTAAAAAAAAAATTGTAAAATTAACAATTTTTGAATCTAAACAAGTTTTAGATAAAGAGTTTGCGGTGTAGTGTGCAAATAATTTGTATTGTAATAATTACACTTTAATAGTTAGGAACATATTTGTGCATACCATTGATGTACAAAGCAATACGCATACAAATAGACTTTTTGAATTTCTTCGCTTTCAACCTTGAGCCTCTCACTGAATTACGATGTCATTTTTTTTTTACAATCTACATTATAACTTTGGTGTATAACAATAAAATTTATATTTTTATTCCATATTCTTATTACAAAAAAAAAACCAATTTATTTTAGCAACAAAAAAATTTGTTTACTCAACTTTAAATTTCCTATAATAAAATATTGTTTTTTTCTGTATCCAAAAATAAATTAATTAAATATTTAATATGCTTTTCCATTTTTTTAATAATAATTTTAGAAATTCAGGCACATTAATTTTTTATAATATAATATATTAATAATTAAATTTTTTTTTATAGAATGTTATAATTTGTTTATTAGTAAATTCTGCAAATTTTAAATAGTTATATATATAGAAACAGTACATACGTATATATATATATATATAGGAAAATGAGGTCACGACTGATCTGACATTGACCTTACCTTCCAATTGAAAACGTTACACGAATAGCAATAAAGTGTCCTTATAATTACACTATAAAGCATTATCTTTCCTGATTGACAAGATTTTAAATATACTTTAATACAAAATATATGTGACAGGATATTTCTTTTTTTCTAACAGTTTATTAATGTTTACGAAAAATCCTTCCTTAAAAAAAAAAATTAATTAATTTCACTACATTCGTGTGAAGTTAATTGACTTGACCTATCACAATACATTTGGCCTTTACCATATAAAAAGAACATCATTAACAGTATAACTAACTTCCGACTTTGTTGATAAACTTGAAAAATTTTCTATAAAATTAATTTTAATTTAAATAATTATTATAATTACAATAATATTTTAATCACAAAATTAAAATTTATTTTATTTATTTATTTTAGTCTCATTAAAATAATTTTTATAATAAATAAAATAATTAATTATTTAAATTTATTAATTGTTACATTAACAATTAATATTTAACAGATATTAAATATAATAATAAGAATATTTATATTTATCAATATAAATAAATAGAAAAATAGAAAATAATAATAAAACTAATTTTCATCTTTCCTAAAATGAAATTTTCAAAGAAATTGAGATTCGAGAAAGAATTAATAATAAAATCATATTTTTAAAATTATTTTTATAAATAATTATTATTAACAATTTAAATGTGTAATATTCCTTAATCCTATATAATTGTTAACATCATTAAGAATTGATATTTAGAAATCGTGAAGGTTAAATATATACTGATGAATGGAACAAGATGAAATATGTATATTATTATCTATTATAGTAACAAAAAAATAATTAACCGTTTATTGCCTTTCTTTTTATTACATATAAATATATATATGAATGAACTGCAAAAAAAAAATTATGTTTCTTCATTCTGCATTAATTTAAATGCAAATTTTTATAATTTTAACATTCACTTTTAAACTTATTCGCGCAATAACTCAATGATAAAGCAATTTATAACCAGAATAAGTTTTTAAATTCCAAATCATTTATATTGTAAATTAATTTTTTTTCACTACAAATTTTAAAATATTAATTTATTCCTATTTTTAAAAAATTTAAATTTCTAACAAAATTATTGTTTTATTAATTAATTTACCCATTGGAGATTAAAAAAAATTGAATATTTTTTATTCAATATACAAGAAAAAGAGATATGTATTTTTTTGGATATAATGTTACACCTTTAAATACAATATTTTTAAAGGAATTATAACGATATTTCAACGTATATTTTAGCTGGATTGAGATCATATTAATGTGGAAGCTGTGTGTGTCCAGGTATAAATTTTGATGTGAAAAGTTATTCATCTATACCTGCTATATGAATACATACGTGATTTTTTAAAATCATTGAAAAACCTATAGTTTTGCGGAAAAAAAAGGTTGGGCTTGATGGACAAAAATATGCTATTGATGAAAATTTTCTTTTCGGTTCTTGCTTCAACTGAGATAGAAATCATTTTTTTTTATTCTTCATTGAAATTATTTTAAAAACAATTTTTATTAAATTTTTTTAAAAATATAAGTTTTAATAAAATTTAATTTTTTAAATAAAAATTATGTAATAATAATTTTTTAAATATAAATTATTTGTAATTGACGGTTTAATAAATGTCGTCTTGCCGGTAACATCAACATTGTTATTAAATATTAATTTCAGTATTGTTAATTTTTTTTCAAACAGAAAAAATTGAAATTTTTTAATTAATTATTATAGTTAATTATTATTATTATTTATTTAGTTATTATTATTGTTAATTAGAATTGATATAATAATCTATTATAATTTTTTCAATATGAATATATAAATTTGAACAAATTAATATTTGTTAGAGCTCATTTTGTGAAAAAAAAATATAATGGAAAAAAATATATTTTTGGTTTTACTGTCAGAAATAGTTGATATCTTTTTTGAATATCTTGAAATTCTATATATAACATTTGATATAGGTACTTTTTGTTGATGTACGAAATATAATTTTCGCAATCCCTTCTTTTAACAAACCAACCAGTTTTTTTTTAACATTAATTAGAAAGCAGATGTGGAAATTTATGACGTGCAAATCGAGATTGACGACAATTTTAACCAGCTATTTCATTGTCTACTGCAATATAATTGTTGCGTGTTCTATAATTATATACATTTTTATCCTGAAATCTTATTTTAAATATTATATTCGAATAAAAAAAAAAAATCTAATATAATTTTTCAATTTTTCTCGCACTATTTTTATTACTGGGAAAAATTATTATTTTCAAAATTTTGAATTTTGACACTAAAACGTAAAATAAAATAAAAACTTTTGACATTTTGTAACAAGAACAATTTTTTTAAAATTTTCTATTATGTCTTTCATTGTAATATTAATTGTTTATAATAATTTTTATGTTTAATCATTTCTTTAATGTACATACATACGTCTTTCTTCTTGATAAAAAATTCTCAGTAAAATAAAACATATATATTACTTTTTGATTTTTCTTTTTTTAAAAAATATTTTACAGGAATAAAGAGCGAAACGTGTTTAAATGATATGTCTTTTGGTCGAAATATTAAACATATTAAAACAATTTAATTATTATCGTTTAAAATATGTTCCGGCTACGCAATATTGTCAATTACATGGTGTGTATCAGTTAAATATTTTTCGCGCGTGAAAAATTAATTTAAAGATTGGTCACGTATTCATTTTAAGCATTAAGACAAATTGTTATAATTAATTGATTGGTAGAAATGTGGTAATTATTTTGATATCATTAAATTGTTTAAATTAAAAAATATCAGTTTTTTGCATTATCAAACAAGACACGTTTTTTTAAACAATTAATTGTTACACACATAAATTTTTGTTAAATATATATCCTACATTTAATAATAATTTTTAAAGTAATTTAAAAAAAAATTAACTTAAATTTTGAGGTTTTAATATTAAAGGAGAAATTTCTCTTAAATCAAAGTGACAAATCGATTCTCTGTACTTGCAGTTAGTTTTTATTTTCAAAAATGATAACATCTCGTTTTTTTTTGTATAAAAATAAAGTTGCGTTATAAGTTCAAAGATGAAATAATATATGTTATGTAAAATTAAAGTGTCTGCATTCAATGTATATAATAAACACAATTATTAACTTGGCTTATTTGAAAATTACAAATTTACACATATTTGTTTTTTCTTTTTTGCTACATACTTTGTATAAATTAAAGATTCATTAATAAAAATCAGATAATTTTTTTTTCCTTGCAAAGTACAAATATCACCATCTAAAGAAGACTAATCCATTACTAACATATTAAGTAAAATCACCAAGTCACACCTTAAATTTACACGCAAAACCATTTAATCCACGGGTTAATAAATTATTTCACATTTTTTTGGTAGACTTTTTTCACACAATTACAATTTTTTTTTTGTTTCTGCTTATTATCAACCCTTGGCATAAATTTGTTTCAATTTACATGAGACAGTATCTTTTTTTAAAAATATATATCAGTAAAGTAATAATTGTAATTATACTTAAAAATATATATAGGAATAAAAAATTCTCGTGCTATTTAAATGAGAAATAATTAAAGAAAGTATGATTCAAAAAATAAATTATAGTATTATATTTCTATATAGTAAATTATAATATCTTATTTAAAGATTCTATAAGAAAATTATCAACAATTAAAAATTAAAAACAAAAATTGTGAAAATTGAAGAAACTTTTCATCAAATTCAAAATGAAGATAAAAGAATGGGAATTAAATAAACATAAAATGAAACGAAACTTTAAGAAAAACTGGTAAATTTCATTTATTGAAAGATAAAAATATATATATATAGACAATAATTTATAGAATAATCTGAGCGAGAAAAAAAAATAGTAAATGAAAAAAAAAAATAATGGAAGAAAAAAAATGAAAGAAATTATAATAAGTGCTCAAAAAAATAGATACACTTCACTCTCTCCCAAACCGATAAGCTTTGAATTTATCAAAGTGTTAATTGTAAATTATTTTATAGTGTAATTCAATTGCGCACTTTCTTTTTTTTTATCGTATTAAAATTATATTCTTATGTTTTTCTCTTCTTTAATGGACTGCTAGCGTGGACATTACTTGTGTATGTATATTATTTATATATATGTATATATTTTTTTATGTGTATTATACTGTTGTCCTAAGTATGGATAGGATAAAATGAAGACCTCTAGATTATGGATTTACTTGAATACATCGACATGGCAGTCCATAGTTTTAAAACTTATTCTTTGCGCTTACGATTCTGTTGTTCCTAAAAGAAAGAACATAATATACTTTGTTAAGAATAATTTAATAAAGCTTAGGCAGAATTAAAAATAAACTGGGTTAATCCAATATGACAACGTCTTATATGAATAAAAAGTTTTATCTTGAAAGGAAATTGTTACTGGAACGTGCGAAAATTTTACAAAAATATTAATTTCTAATAATATTTATTGTCAGTCAATTGAAAATATTTATTGATAATAATAATAATAAATTAAGTGACTACTAAATAAATTCCTCTTTATTTCAATAGAAATCTATTTAAAAATAAACAATAATTTTTTTCCATTTATTTATAACTATTTATTTAAATATTAAAAATTTTTTTTATTGATAATAAAACTAATTATTTTAATTCTGGAACTAATTATTTTAGTTATACTACATTTACTTTCATTAATAAACTATTTTTATTTATTTTTCATTCTTTTTTTTATCTAAAACAAATTTCTCTTTTTTAGTCAAATAAATAACCAATAAAAAAAAAAAAATAAAAAACCAATAAATTCCATTTTAATTTTAATATTGAAATTAAAATTGTTATGAATACATTGTAAAGATGAACAATTGTTTTATTTTTTCATTTTATTGCATTGTATTTAAGAAATATTAATTTAATAAATAAAAATAGTGCGCAACGACTGAGGATAAAATATTTAATTGCAATGATCCATAAAATTAATTGCTTTTATCATAAAATTAATTATTCAATATGTACGCAATAATTAGTTCCATTAAATGTTCATATACTGATCAAAAACTTATTATTTATTGTTATGATTTAATAAATATAATTAAAATCATTCATATTAATAACTTCAGCTTTACAAAACGATTAAATTAGAAATGTATTTATCAAATTTATAAATTAATTTATCAATTAGAATAATTAGTTTCTATACCTTCTTTATCATAAATATAAAATATTCAATAAACAATTTTGAAAATATTAAAAAAAATATATATATGAGTTCCTCATGTATTTTTTGTTTTATGTCACATTATTTTCTACAGTTTCTTCATTATTATGATAAATATTGTCGTAAATATCATTGTTAGTGTATATCTATAAAAATTTAGAGAATTTCTTTTGTTGAATAAAGAAAATCTCAAATTACTTACTTTTTGCGTAAGAAGAACAAGAAGATGACGGAAAACATTGATGAAGTCAATGAAAAGATCAAGAGAATGCATGATGAAGTCTTTGCTGCCCATTCTGTGCTTCTCGACAATCAATTGCGTATCATAAAGAATAAATCCGCACATTATAAACAGGCCCAAGTATAAGCGAATTTGATACAGAATCGCCACTCTCAAGAACAGATTGACAAACGAGAATAGAACAGTCAAATTTAATAAACTAATTAGAGGTCCTCCAAGATAAAGCCAACTTCCTCTATCCGCCAACAGTGATGAGATGCTGAACGATACAAAGATAAGTGACGTTGCTGAAAAAAAAATTAAATTAATTATAAAATCAAGATAAAGAAAATAAATTGACTAATAAATCGCAAGAAGAAGACGAAATAAATTAATCACTAAATATTTTCTAAAATTTCATGAATAAATCAAAATAATAATAATTCCAATCAGAATTTAAATTCTGATCCAAAATGATTACAAAAATTATAATTTTAGTAACATTTATAGAAATTTGATATTTTTCATAAAATTCCCTGACTAATGGCAACACTGATAAAAAATGTAGTAATTTTGTAATTTTGAAGTCTTAAATAATTTTTAAATTGTTAAAAAAGATATTTTTAACTTAAATACTTCCAATACTTTTAATTTTATCTAAGTACGTTATCTTTATTTATTTTTAGCGATTTTCAAACACAATAATTTTTTAACTTTGGAAATTATTTTCAACTTCAAACATTAATCAACTTAAAAAAATTAAACAACTTTAATTAAGTTTAACAAAAAATACCAAATTTAACAAATAAATAACAAAAATTTAATAAAAATAAAATGAATTTTATTTTCCTTCTAAGTAGTAATTTTTTCTAATAGACAGAAAATAATGTAATTCTTTACTGTTCATTTAAGAAAACTTTTTCCTTTTAAATATACCAACAATGTGTAAAAGTTTTTTTTTGTTCTTTTTTATCAAATTGTGGATAAAAACCTAAGCGATTTGTTTCATTGCTAAAGTGTTTATGCAGAAAGTCACATACTCATTCGCACAATTTATTTTTTATTTATATATATAGGTATAAAACTTTGGAATAAAAAAATACTTTTGCTATTTTAAAAATATCAATTTTTTTTATTCTATATTTCCTACTCTAGTTTGTCAAGGTAACAAAATTGTGACACTATTTAAGGAAATTTTTGTAAAATACAAAAAAATATTTTAAAATATGTAAAATATTCTTTTCTTTCAAAAAAAAATTTCAGATCAATTTTCGAATTTTCCTTTTTTGGATTAATTATTATTATTTTTAATCAATTATAAAATTAATAAAATAATAAAAAATATATAATTCAATTAATCAATAATAAGAATACATAATAATAATTATTATTATTATTATTTATAAAGGTTTAAACTAAAAATGAAAATTAAATAAATAAAAAGAAACTATTTGTTAAATTTTTTATTTTAACGTGATGCTAAAAAAAGACATCGAAATCTTTAAATAAAACAAAAAAATATGATTTTAATTTGCTGATTTCCTACTTTCAAATACGATAAATAAAGGACATGCTTTCTCTTTTCAAAACAAGTTGACAAAACTTTTATGAAATATTTGAATAATTAAAATGAGCTTTTGTCTAGTTTTATCGTCTTTACACACTGTTAATCAGTCATTTCTGCGTAGGTCTTAAAAGCCACTGTCTACCATTAAACTTTTCAACGTTCACCATTTGCAAATTTTAATTGTAATTAATTTATTTAGAAAAAATAATTTTATAAATTACCAGTTTCTAAAAGGAAAAAAAAATGCTATTTCAAATTATCATTTTTCAAATCACTTTTAAATTTATTTATTTAGAGAAAATTATTTTAAAAATTAACAATTTCTAAAAGGAAAAAAAACAGTCATTTCAAATTAATAAATGTTACTTTATATATTTAACGAATAAAATAAAAAACTGAATAAAATTTTTTTTTTAATATTTCAAACTTAAATTGTATAATTAGTTGATGATTATTTATATGGCTTTAATTATAATTTGAAATGAAGACTTTAGACAATTTTTTTCAATTGTTTAACTTCATTAGAAACACAATTATTTAAATCTTCATTTAAATTTAAATTTGACAAAAAATATAAATTATCTAAGTACTTTTTGAAGTTGTCTTTGTAATTTGAAATATACATGAATCTACAAAAAAAAAAAAAAATTCCTTCACATGAAAGTTTAGAAATATTATTAAAATCAAATATTTTTCAAGAAATTTGTAATAGTGATTTTTAATTTCTATTATCTTCATAAAAAATAAAAAATAAATATTTCAATCTATTGTTTTGGTCTTTTATTTTCTGTACGATAAATGTGAATATGTATGTGTAAGCATGATAATTTTTTCACGACTAAATTATACTCTTAATGAGAATAAAATTTCTTATAATTAACATAAATGTAATAGCGTCATTGTGTGTAATAGAAGAAAAAAAAAAATGTTGAGTAACTAACCCAAAAGAGACGTGACGACTATGCTTGGATCCACACTGATAACAGCTTCCAAAAGAGGTCCCATTCCCAATCCTGATAAAAATGTGAAACCCAAGAGGTAACCGAGACGTAATTTTTGATTTTTGCCATTATCTGGTGTACAAAGAAGAGCAAAAAGAAGACCTAATGCTCCCAGAGTAGACATTAATCCTGCTTGAAGAATTTCTGTGTACATATGAACGTATGCTCCAACTCCTGCCGAAACTGTCGACATTGATAGGCATCCGTAAACATTTTTTAAATGTTGTTTTAACGGTGCTTCTCTGAAAAAAATATTCCCCTTAATGACTAATCATATATATGCAAACTCTCGTCAGAAAACACAAAAACATTGCCTACTTATTTGATTTCACATTATATAAAAGGTTGAAAATATAAATCAATTTGACATTGAATATCTGTTTCACAGATTTTTGTCTTTATAGTAATAATCAATTATTCTAAACAAAATTAAGACATACGTTTACAAATTGCTGCGCAAAATGTTGTAAAGAATACAATATTTCCTCTCCCCCCTCCCCATTATCTTTTAATAAAAATTATAATTAAAAAAAACGACTGTCATTAAAATTGTAGTATAAGTAGTACACTGGAAAGTTACATCATTTTGATAACTACATACGTGTCCAATAATCGTCTGATTATATTAAAATCTATTTTAGTATCTAGGTGTTAAAGTACAAAAATTAAAAAAAAAAAAAAAAGTAAGTTTATCGCGTATACTCGCGATGAGAGAAAGAGAGGATACAAAATACGTAAACAAAGATATTTTTGGAGTGAAATGAACTTGAGAGAAACTTACAGCCTGTTATTGAAGGAATTAACGAAACTCGTTAATGTTGGTGCCATGATTTTAGTTGTTGTTTTTAATAAATTACACACCAGTTACACTTACGTTGCAAACACTTCTGTTTTAAATTTGATACTAATCTAGAATGATCATGAATCGCCAAAGTGATACTTTTTGTGGACACGTCAGTGGTATTTCTATGGTATATATTTTCTCTTGATTTCTCATTGGCTGAAAGTTAATCAAACTCTGACGAAATAACAATTTAACGAGTTGAGAAAGATAGAATTATCAAATTGTTCAAGTTAAAGAGAGACAAGGTTAATTTTGCAGCGACACTTCTGCCCTCTATTATCATACTTTATAGGTTATGTTGTGACTCAGTAATTTTTGTATATTAGTGAAATAAATATAGACTGATATCAAAGTATTGATTTTTATAAAATTAATTATTCAATATTTTTATTCCACATTATTAAGATAAAGTACTATAATAATTATTAAAATTCTTAAAAAAATTCATAAATTATTTTAACCAAGTTTGAATCAAATACATCTCCCGCCATTAATTTAGTGTCCTGAAAATGTCATCTGTCAAAATGTGTCAAATTACAAACAACATTGTCTTTAGTGAATAAAAATAAATAGCGTGCAACAATAATTATAGAAATAATGTTAATTAATGTGCAACACATAAAGAAATAATATGTAATTTTAAATATATTTCTTTTTTCATAAAAGTAACCATGTGCCAAACGTGATAAAGTTAACCTCTCAGGGAAACCGTGACTTTTATATAAATTTTTTAAATAGTTTAGTTTAGAAAACAAATAAAGAGAACAAAAAATTAAGAAAGTAAATGTAAATAATGATTTGCAGTAAATTTTAGAGCTTGTTCTCAGTTTTAGTGATAAAAGTTAAAATAGGTTAAGTTTGAAATCTTATATATATATATATATATTCAACCATGAAAGAAGTGTTGAATTCACAATCTTCCTCGGGATTTAGTAATCATTTTGCAAATAATAATGGTGACACAAGTAATGCAAGTTCCAATAATGTCGCGAATGGTGAAAATACTAGAAGATATGCTGTTTTAAGTACAGAATGGGTTTCTGCAATTGGCGAAGAATTAGGAATGCATCCACTTCCAGATCCTCTTCTTCGACGACTTGCTGAAGATGCTTCTTATCGTTTACGAGATGTTTTGCACGTAAGTATAAATAATTTATTTAATTATTCTAATTATATTGTTCTTTTTTTATTTTATACAATATTTCGCCTAAGGAGAATTTAATTAGAAATTGACATTTTTTTTTTTTTTTCACAAAATTTAAATCTTTTATGTAAATTGCAGAAATGCGTAACTAGACTTAGGCATAGTAAACGAAGACGTTTAACTTCAAATGATGTGAATGCAGTGTTTACAAATTTATGTGATATTGATCCAATATTTGGAACTCCCGAGCAAATGCCGGAATATCACACGGAAGCTGCGGTATTTGTTCCTCATGAGCACATTATAGAATTACCGCAACAAGTTAATAATCCACAAAGAATTGAACAAATACTTCCTCCTTTACTACAGGGTATAAATTATTAAATTTCAAGGAATCATTTTGTTTGTCTATCTGTTGAAATTGAATTAATAAAATTTTGTTTTCATTACACAGAAACAGAAATCGCCGATGTTCGTCTTCGGGAAGCTCGTGATAATTATGCAAAACGCGCAATAAAAACAATTTTTAATGGTTCACAGAAAACATTTCAGGTAAGCAGTATATTTTAATTAATTTAATGAAATTATGATTTATTTTCTCGTGAGAATCAATAAATGACTAAATAAAAAATTTTTTAGGTCCTCTTAAATGACTGTGCGACTAATGCTAATTTAGGTGGTTATGGGGTTGTGGATAAATTAATGTCTATTGCAAGGGCAATGGTGATTGCAAATAGTACTCATTACACTCGGATTTCGATGCGTACTTGTCAATTGATTATAGCAGTCGCCAGCAACAGTGAAGCAGTTTATCCCTACCATTTAGTTTCTGTAATTTGAATTATACAAAATAATAATAAAAAAAAAAATATTTATCTTGTTCTGTTTTTCAAAATAATAATTTTATTATATTTTAGGTGGATAAGTTAACAGAGTTGTTGATAGAACTTCCTGATGGTTACATACACACAAATATGGAAGTCTTATTTAAAGAATGTGCTTTTAAATTAATGCTTCGTTGGCCTTCCGCAGCAGATAAGTTAGTATTTTTTAAAAATTTATTTTTATGGAATATGTACATTTTTTTTTAAATATTCAATGAGTTTTCAAAATTTATTAATTTAAAAAAAATAAAATCAATTTTTCAGATTTATTCCAGTTTTGGAGGGAATGCTTCGTCAAGAGGTGAAAGATAGTTTTGAATCAAGAAGAAAAAAATTAATGGCTATGGAATTGATCGCAGGCGTTCAACCTTTATTGTTCTTCCAACAAGAAAATAATTCACCGCTTTCTTTAGAAAATGTTTTATTATTTGCGACACCTGCTTCCGTGTTGTGGCTTCGCATAGCCGTAAGTAGAGAAAAAAAAAAAATTTACTAAATGTTGAACATAAAAATTTTTTAAATATATATTAAATTTAATTCTAGATTGCAGTTAGTGCTTTTGTCAAAACGGGTAATCAGCCTTTTAATTATTCTGTGATTTATGATCATTATGGCGACTCGATATTGTCGTATATGGTAACGAGAAAGGAGAAACAAGGAGAACGTAAGGAACCAGTAAATCTGCCAATGATTGTAAGAAGTAAAATTAATACTGTTAATGTTAGACCGATTAGATTTAATAAAATTTGCACGGATAGACATTCCGTTTTTCCCGATTCGATGTTGCAAGGGAGACATGAAATCAGGTAAATTTTTATTATTTAGTAAAAAAAAAAGAATTTTCGATTGAAAATTAATTATGTTAAAAAAATTTTACGTTTAGATTTGCATTCGTTGGTGGAATTCCTGTACCTCCAGACAATCTTAAAAGAGCAAGTTTACGTGCTGATTATGAATTTTTAAGAAGTGAAGTGCCTGCCACAGTCGCTCTTGTTGCGTCCAGAAGACTGCTTATATTTAAAAATAAACGGAAAAATTTTGCAAATGCTTACAATTTAGGAAATATTCATCTTTAAATTAGAAACAAAAAAAAAAAAACACATGACAATAGGTTCCTAAGAAAAATGAATAATTATTAAGGTATCTTAATTCTTAATTTATTAATTTTTTTCGTCCGAATTTAATTTTTTGAATAAAACTGTTGCAAATGAATTATTTAAGAAATATATTGTAAGAAGCTAAAATATTTCATTATCTAAATTAATCAATGATATCAATTTATCTGATTAACAAAATTATCTAATTAACTAAATTATCTAAATTACAATAAAGAAACAAATTGTATTTCTAGACAATTATTTGAAAATCAGAGACAGTCCTCGAGACCGTTTGGCAATTCTGATCTTGGCAAATAATGAGAATTCGACAGGCAAGTAAGTCGAGTATGGAATCGAACAGGTACCTATTAATAGAACATTTTTTTTTTTTTTTTAATCGATTGAAATAGGCAAATTTAAAAGTTTAAATTTAACTAATTGAATGATAATAATCTAAACTGCCGAAAAAATTGTACAAAAAAAATATTTAAATATATATTCGATAAAAAAAAACTGAATCTTACTTTAGCAAGTCGTTGACGACTAAGAATTCGGTTTTTATAAAAAAATATGTTTCGTTCAAATAAAATACTATGACTTTGGCCATATTGATTGGTCTTAACATCGAAATAATTTGTAAAATGTATTAATTCGAGTCTCGTGCTCTCAATCATCTTTTGTGTATCTGTTGAATTAATTTTGTGTATAATATTATAAAAAAAATTTCCCAATTAAATTTTTATCTAAAATAATAATGTTTAATATTTTGTTATTTTACTTTTTGATTTTTGTTCATTGAGAATTATTTTTTCTTTGTCTAATTGATTTGTTTGTTGCTTCAATTCAATGGGAAACGATTCTTTTTTATTCAAATTCGTAATTTTTTTTAATTCTATTTAAAAAAGAAATTAATATTATTAATCGAATTTTTAAAGTAATAATTTTATTTTTCATTTTATGTGTGAGGACTTACGATAAATTTTCCAAAATTTTTGAATTGTGAATGCACAATGATTACGATATAGATTTCTCTGATTTTCTAACTTAAAGAAAAATGATTCCTTGAGGAAAATTAAACGTTTTCCAAAAAAAATCATTGACGATAAATTTTCCATGTCGATTATTCTCAATTCTTTGAGGATATCTTTGCATTGTTGAATAAGAAAAGTAAAATCGAATGAAGAAAGATTATTTTTCCAATCAAAATGTTTCTTTGAATATCGTTCATTAAATTCATCATATCTGAGATGAATTGAAAATTTACATCGAGCGAGAGGTAAAGCGTCTAAAATTCCTGTATAAATTAATTGCTTTCTTAATTCAATTTTGTCCCAAGAATTTTTAACAAATCTAAAAAGAAATTATTGTGTAATTTACTATAAGTATGTAAAAAAAATATATATATATATTTATATACTATAAGTTGTTTATAAATAAAAAAAAAATTAATTAAGATACTTTAATTAAGTTTAAATAATTTTATTTCAATAGAGACCCATTGAAAGATAGAAATTTCAAAAACCTGGGCTTAACACATTTAACGTAATGTGTATCACATTTTTTAAGCTCTTCCAAAAGCACATTTAAACTAAGTTTAACTTTTAGCAAAGTTGTCGCATTTCTTAAATAAGTTTTATTGTCATTATTCAAAAAATGATTTTCATTTGTAGCTGATGATAAATATTTCAATAGTATATTTGAAGATTCAGAAAAAGTAGTTGGCAGCTCATTGGGAACCTTGAAGAAATTATTAAATAACAATAGTTATTCGATTATTATTTAAAATAAACAAAAAAAAAAAAAAAAATAATTATGAAACCTTGTCACTATTTTTTGAAAGCAAATCTTGCAAAGAATACTCGACAGGTTGAGAATAATGATTAATAATGAAATTCTCCCCTATTTGAGACACTTTAAAAATATTACACATTTCCGGTTTTAAAAATTCACTCTTCAGATTAACACATCGATTTTTTATTGCGTTTGGACCAACCTGTAAAATGATTTTCTTTAAAAAGCAATTATTTATTTTTTTTTTTTTAATAATAAATAAATGGAAATTATTTACTGAAACACTATTGACATTTTTACAAAATTTTTATTATAAACTAATAATTGAAGTGTTATTTAAAGGAACTTACACCATTCAATATTGTAAATAAATTCTTTTCAATGGCATTTAATCGATGTCGATAGTCATCTATAATTTTTGGAGTTGGTATATCACTTAAACCTTCCTCTAATAATTCTTTATGTCCTGATTCTAAATATTCTCGCATAAAATATAATTGTAGCCTTTCATTCGCATAATTTATTGAAAATTCCTCTAGACCATTTACGGCAAATGATTCAAATCCAAAAATATCTAGTATTCCTAATAATATGAATCAATTAACAATTCTTCAAATAACTAAGAATTTTTAAAAATCGTTTTTAATTTAATTATTTATTTAATTTTCAATTATTGTACCCAACCAAGTGTTACTTTCAGCTTCTGATGATAAAGTTTGGTTTATTCGATCTATTAACCAATTAAACAAATTATCGTATAGATGTCGAATAATGCTAAATAATCGATTTTGACAAGTTTCAATAAAGACGAGATTTCGACGGTAAGTAGAATGTCTTCGCCATTGACTTTGAGTGCTTATTAATGTTGTTGTTAATAATTCCTTTAATTCATTTTCCGATACTGCAGACAGGACACTCGCTTTTTCAAGAGCTTTCCTGGAAACTGATAATAAATAATTTAGAATTTAAATTATTTTTCAAAACAATTTTTACTATAGAAAAAACTTTTATTTTGAAATCATTATGAAAATTTTGCGAAAAACTTTGAAAATACCAATTAAAAAGAAAATTGGAATATTTTTTTTTTATTTTCAAATTTCAATGAAGGGATAATAAAATAAGTTTTTTTAAAAATTTTTATTCACAACCTTTATTTTCAATATCGATTGCAGTTGAACCGTCACCAGTTTCGACAAATTTTATATTCCCCAAATGTATAAGCAAAGCAATAATATTGAAAATATTTTTTCTATCATTTTCGGAAAAACCAAATTCCTTTATAGTTGACAAAGTTTTTTGAAAACTTGAACCGAGTTCTTCATTATGAATGTAAGGATTTATTCCTAGTAAATTATACGATTCTTCTTTAGATAAACCAAGATTCTGAAGTTCAGAATTTGTGGATCCAAAAAGAAGCTATAAAATTAAGAAAAATTTAAGTTTTCATTTTATTTAAAAATGATGAATAAATTTTTTTTTTTTTGCTAGATAACCTGATAAAAAATCATGAAATTATTGTTTCCTTTTGTCACTCTTGTTCGTTCGAGGAGAAAAGATTTAATGGAAGCCCCAGAAACAATTCCTTTATTATATTCGAATTTTATCAATTGTCCATGTCTTGAACTTTGTGAATTTTTTTCAGTACACGCTGTACTGAAAGCCGTAATTAAAGGACAAGCATTAGCAATTTTTCTCGCAAATTTTTCCACTTTTTTTTCATTCAATGGACAAGTCGATGAACTTTTATTAATTGTTGCGAGAAAGTTTATTGCCTGATTTGCATTGAAAGTTTTTCCAGTGCCACTATCACCACTTAACAAAATTACCTATACGTTTCAATCGTTAATTATTTTTTTATTCTATACATAGCTTGAGGGAAAATTATCAAGTTTTAATAATCAATTAATTTGCATATATATATATTTAATTGAAATATCGTACCTGAGAAGGTCTACCGAGATTGTTTACAAGTTTAAAATGTGCAGTTGCAGCAACTGAAAATATATGCGGTTTGAGGTTGTTTTCAAAAACTTGAGAAGAATCGAAAGAATTGTTTTTCAATAAATAATGCGATTCGAGAGAACAATTTTCTTTGGGATTCAATGATAAAAGAATTGGACCAACCCAAGCATAAGTTATTCCCGCTTCTAGCCGATTTAATAAATACTGAATGACTGAAAAAAAAGAATTTAGTCACGAAGATTATTAGAAAATAAAAAAAATACTTACTGTATTCTTCATTGTCAGGAATTGCATTAAGGTTATTTATCGAATCAAAATCAATAGAATTCATATTGTTAAAATTTATAAATTATTTCGAAATGATAAAACTTTCAATATAGAATTAAAATCTATTAATTATTTCTTAATTAAACGATTAGAAAGAACATATTTTTCTATTGAAAATTAAGAATATTTATAATCAGTATGAGTGATTTCGTTTGACAGATCAAAAGTAAAATTAAATTCATTTGTTTAAAAAAAAAAAAAAATCATCTCAAAAAATATAACAAATAAATATACACAAGTTTTCTTTATTGAAATATAAATTGCAAAAACTCTGTAAACAGTCTTTAGATATTTATATGAAATGCATGTGACGCGCAACAGTGCATAAAAGGCAAGCGCAAAATTTTGTCAACAATATTCAAATCATCAATTATTGGGGATATTTTTCATCCATTTTGGCCAGAAATTGTTTGCAGTCCAAAATTGTTTTCTCCAAACGTTCCCTTGTGGCGGATGTTTGACGCTGCTCCAATTTCTTCTTTGACGATTCAATTGTTGCTCGATAACCGGGAATGTTACGGAAAATTTTTATATGCCTATCACCAGCTACAAGTAAATATTCACCAGCTGCGTCAAATGCAAGACATGTTATTGGTCCTGAAATTATTATGAATTTTTTTTTTTTTATTATTAAATACTGTAAAAATCTTTTTTTAAAAATTATTTTACAATTAAAAGAAAATAAAAAAATTATCACCATTAAAAATGTCATCGATAGTTGTGTCAAAAGCACCAGTAACTGTGCAATAAAACGATAAAGATGATCCATGGGCAATAGCTAAAACTTCTCCATTCGGTGATAATGCCAAATTAGCAGTTGATGCCGATTCCCATGATCCATTGACGAGAATTCGTGGATCTTCACCTTTCTCAAATTCAACTAATAAAGAGAAATTTGAAAAATAATAAAATTTGAGTAATTGCGAGTTAAATAAATTAATTAATTAAAAAAATGTCTTTGCATTATTTAAAGATAAACAAAAAATTGTTTTAGAAAAAATATTAGATAATATTAATTTGAATTATTTACTCTTAGTGTCATAAAATCTATAGGTTCCGTCTTTTGATACAGTCGCCATGTAACTTGTATCAGCGCTGAATCCAAAATCATAAACTCCTGACGAATGTCCAGCAAGATTAAAAGCTTTCGAGACCTGTTTAAATTCTCCAGATTTTGTGAATCCCACTTCCCAAACTTTGACATCGGGTGTGAAACCTTGAAATAGCAAAATCAATTTTCATTTAACTTGTTTAATTTTTATTCTCAAGTTAATTTTTTTATCAATACAATTTTAAAGATTTTAATTTCATTCAATTTTTAATAATAATTTTTTTTTATCATTTTTTTTCACAATTATGTTAAAAATTAAGTTACATTCAATAAAGTACATTTTAATATATTGTTATTGAATTTTTTTTTTGCAGGTATTTTACCTGATGCAGCCACAAATCGTCCACAGGGAGAAATTCGTGCCTTATGAGTGGTTCCAAGGTAAGTGTCAACATTTGCCAGAATTTGACCTTTCAAATCCCAAATAACTAAATCATTTACTGTGCTACAAGTTACAATGTAGCGTCCATTACATGCAATATCCATGCCCACTACGTCTTCCACATGATGCTAGAAATTTTCGAATGAAAATAATTTAATATTAAATTAAATATTAATTATTAACTAAATTTTTTTATCCGAGTATAAATTTAATAATTACCTTTGGAAATTCAAAGGATTTGGTAGCAGAAGCCAAAGTACCATCTGATTTTTTAGAAATTTTGTAAACTTCAATTGCATTACCCAGAGCTTTGTGTATTAAGAAAGCTTTGCCATCAGGTGACCAGCGAATCAAAGTAGCATGATCATATTCAATATTCACTCTCAATGATCTCTTATCCTTTGCTGAAAGATCTTTCGTACACCATAGCAAAACTGTGCGATCTGAAAAAAAAATGTTTGTCTTTTAATTCAGATAAAATAAATTTAAATATCAAAAAAAAATTTATTCTCTTCTTTCTTTCGTTTTTTAAACAAATTAAAGTCTATCATAATTGGAGAATTTTTTTTTTGTCCAAAAGAATTAAAATTATAAATCATCTTAGTTAAGTCCAGATATTTTTAAATAGAAAATTATTTGTTAATAAAGTTTTTTTTCTTAAATTCAAGTGACAAATTGATTAGTAAGGTCTTTAATATGTTAAACATTTATCTCCAATTTTTAAAAAAATGGATTTATTGAAAACTTGCTCCTCATGTAAACAATTAACATATTACATTTTATTTTAAATGTAAATTTTTGTTGGATTTGTTAATTGTATGTTTAAATTGTATTTTAAATTTTTGTACTTTTTAAAAATTTTTAATTTAAAATGAAAGAAAAAAGATTTTAAAAAGGGATAAAATGATTAAATTAAAACTATGACAATAATAACTAAACAAAACTTGAGTTTATTAATGCACAATTCGATAATGCACTGCCATACAAATTTCTATAAATATGTAACTTAATATCAAACAAAGTATTTTTATTTTTTTTTTTTAATTACAATACATGATTTTTCAAACAATTATGCGTCCATTTAATTGTAAATTAAAAATCAATCATTGTTGTCAATTTATCATTGTCACCTAGTTCTATTTGGTGGTGGCATTAAATCAGTATCATCTTGATATTGATATTTTTGAATGAAGTCTAACAATTTTTCTTTCGTCACTGGATGAATAATCGATTGACATACTGCCATTGCTGTTTTATATGAATTTGGAAACGATTTGTCAGTTCTTTCGCGCATAAAAACCCATTCATTATTTTCAAATTTACACTCAATTATTTTATTGTTCAATTCTTTCATATGTTTATTTACTTTCATTCGTGCAAATTCAACACTATGTCCACCGACATAAAGTAGTCCAATAGTCCTTGGCAGAATGCCCAATCCTTCTTCCTTGGTAATTTTCAATTTGAAATCAACTGAATTCATTGAAAGTGGTTTCCATTTTAAAACTTCGGGACATGGTCCAGTTATATAGGGTTCCTTGGCGGGTTGAAATATAAGACCATCAGGTTCATGTGTCAATTGTTTGGCAAATTTTTCACCAAGAATATTGGCTGTCCAATTTAATTCATAGAAATTCTTTCGACGCACTGAAAATGGCTCACGATCCTTATTCATTCGTCCTTCTTTAAAAGCACGAATACGCCCGGCTATTATGTCTCTCTCAATAATATTATAACGTACAGGTTCAAATGGCTCTTTGCTCACGTCTTTTCCATCGTACATAATTACATCATAGGCTAAATAGCGTGGATATTTTCTGCCATCCGATTTATCCACGTCTATCACCATCTCCTGTAAAATAAATAATTATAATTACAATTTTTTAATTTCGACAACGCAAATTTTTGAAAAAAGAATTTAACGTCCATTTATTAAACATCAAAGTTAAAAATAATAAAAACTTACACCATCGAGTAATGTATCTCGAAGTATTCTTTTCGGGTCCCTCGCATGAGGGAAACGCAATCCACTAACCTCGAAAATACTAAAATTTCGATCAGCGAAGTAAACTTGACCATCACCTTGAATTAACATCAAATATCTAAACAAAAAACAAACATTGCATAATAAATATAAATTAATTTTTGAATTTAATAATAAATTAATTATTCGATTCTTTATAAATCGTTAATTTATTTATTACAAAAAAAAAAAGTGAAAAAAGAAACTAAATAAATAATATCATCGTCTAAGAAACTGTGCATAATTCGTGGAAACTTAACTCTCAAAAATATCATATAATTAATTAATTGCAAAAAATAATTATAATTGATTTCGAAAAATTTATAATAATTTTTCAATTTGACTAGAAAATAAAAACCATAATCATTTATTTGTGCAATGTTTCACCTACTTTCATGATTAAACTCTATGCATTCACAAAGTAACATGCCTTGACTTTCACTTTGAATAATTTCGGAGAAAGAAAAAACTGCAGAACTATAATGAAAAAAAAAAGAAAAAAAAATATCTTGAAGATTATCGAACTGGTAAGCCAGCTTTCACTATGAAAAAAAAAGTATATTAAAAATTTTCTATAACTGGTTCTGCTTTCAAATTTATTTTCGTTAATGAGACTACAAAAACAGTCTTGAAATATAATTTTTTTTTTTTTGAAATTTACCTCGATATTGTTCAAATCAATTTTTTTCAATTATCTCTCCATCATTGCATATTTAAATTGATTGATAGGATAATTTAATGGTAATTACTTTTGAAAATTTATCAAAAAATTAAAAATCTCAATTCTTTTTTTCTACATAAAATAATTTAATATGAAAAAAAAATGAATTAAGAATCTCACCTAGTTCCATCAGCCTTCCAAGACATTCGATAAGGTTTTCTGTTTAGCATTGAAATATTATCAACATCCATTGAAACTGGTTGACATCCTGGAAAACCACCGTCGGTCCAGCCGCAAATATCCTGAATATGTCTTTGTATTCCACTGACAATTTGAAAATTTGTAAGTGGCATCACACCAGGAACACCGTCCATAAAAACGGGATTTTTATTGAAATGTTCTCGTTTTCGTTTTCTTTCAATAGGTGGTACATTTGCCTCATAATTTGATTGACTTGCTTCACCAATTTCATCATCGTCATTTTCAATATTATTCTCCAAACACCACGAGGGTTTTGGTGGTGCCGATGGACAATCCTCAATATCATCATATTTTCTATATAATTCTTGAATATAATCAAATTTATAAATACCTGGCGGTCTTGCCGTGGCAAATTCAGCTAAAGCAGCATCAACACTCATTCCAAATTCTTCAACTAAATAACTTATTATAAGAAAACCAGTACGATTAAATCCATGTGTACAATGAATACCAATCATTTCAAGTGGATTTGTTTGAATGAATTTTCTACAAATTTCAACAAAAGCTCTTGTCGTTGGCTCATTTGGTGTTTCACCACGACCTTTACAGGGAATTTTTAAATATCGACAGCCAGTTTCCTCAACTTCGGTTCTATCGTAAAATCTCTTTGTATTTGTCAAATCAATCCAAAGGCCCATTTTAATTTTTTGACTTTTCATTGAATCAAAGAGCATTTTCACTGAGAAACGACATTCTTCTGGTACTTGACTATCAAATCCAGAGCATAGTGGTGTTTTGAAAGCACAAAATTTATTTTGTATTATTACAAGTGATTTTCGTGGACAATGTAACCAACGATCAGGAACGGGACCGTAACCACTTTTTCTTGACATTTTATTTATTAATAAAAAAAAAAAAAATTGACGAAAAATTATCTCCACTCGCCAATGAATAAAGTTTTATTCACTTAATGAAACAATTTAACATTAAGCAAAATGAACATAACCTCGTTTAGCGTGTTGACTGCTGTTACAATTAAAGAATAGATGGAAGTCTTTTTTTTTAACTAATTTTTACACTATTGAGTATTACTTTTATAATTATTACTTAATAATTGTTACGTATTATGCAGATAAAATCAAATAACTATGACATTCTTAAATTTACATCGAACGTCAAAAAAAACTTATAACTATAATAACTAGTTTGATGTTCAGTCTATTTGTGATAACTCTTGATACACATTTGTATTATTTTCTTTATCTTTTTCTTGAGATAGAAGAGGATAATTAAACTAGGAAGATTGATAAGAAAAATTAATAAGAACAGACTATATCACTATAGTTTGACAGGCGGCCATGTTTGTTTCGATGCATGCGCAATCAATTGACGCAGAGAACCAACATTCAATATATCGAATCATTTAATTGTTTCGATTTATTTTCAAATTCAAATGCGAAAGCGGTAAAAAAAAAATTATGTTTCTTAAAAGAAATTAATAAATTTATTTTCATTCGTATTTATATAATATATAAGTTTTTTAATATATGTAGAATTTTTATAAACGTATTGAAAAACTTAGAAAAATAAATAAATAAAATTGAATAAAAATAATAAAATAAAAAATAGTATAAAGTCAACTAATATAAAAGCAAAGAATATTTTTTAAAGAAAAATTACTATTATTTAAATTTTAACTAATAAAAAATATATATATATTTTTAATTGTACTCTGACATTATTTACATAAAATTATTTAAATACATATTGAATTTAAAATTTAATTTCATGAAGAATTTTTCTATAATTAAAAATTATAAAATTTAAATAATAAATAAAAATCGTCATATTTTTCTTAAGATTGATATTTCTCTTTTTATCCTTTGAATAAGAGGATTTCATTTACTTAACGTTATTGCAAACTTCAATATATTACATTAAAAATGCTTAAAAAATATTAACACTTAAAATTGAAAAAAGGTCACGAGTAAAAGTAAATTTTTCCATTGTCAATCATTTGACATTTTATGAGTTTTTAGTCTTTTATGCTCATGTAGATTTAAATGCATCTTTACATTTTCTAAAAGTCATATAAGTGAAATCTTACGTAAGAGTCATACAATTTTTAAATGTACAAATAACAGAAAATACCTTTAAGAAAATAAAAAATAGAAAAAAAAAAATTGAAAGTCTTCATTTGAATATATCATTGTAAAAAGTCATACGTGATTATTGCAATGTCAAACGTGTCTCTAACTTTAAATAAAAAAAAAAAAAAATAATTGTCTCGAGACAAATAAAAACATTTTTTTATAAAACACGGTTTTTTTTTTTTTTTGTAAATATGTATATTCGATTTTGACCCACTAAACTGGAACCGTTTTATCAACAAGGAAACTCGTAAGTTAAATATTTTTTGTACATAAAAAAAATATTTAACTTTTTGGTCGATTTTGTTAGTAATACCATTTTTATATTGCTAAAAATAATTTACATAATTTTTTAATGCGCTTATTAATTATAAAATTACTATTTATTATAAAACAAAAGTTTTATAGCAAATAATAATAACTTTTTGTTTTATCATAAATAAAAAAAATAAAATTTATAAATTTGAGTTATTATGAAATAAATAAATTTCAAATTGAAAGCAAATGTTTCAAAGTATAAATATATATTTATATTTGAGTCAAGTAAAAGATTTGTTTGTTTAAACAAAAATCTTTTTCTGAAAGTTTTTATCTAATATATGCTCATTAAATTCCGTCAACAGTTTCTTTGAAGAAATTATAAATCCTTTTAATTAATTAAATTTTATTGAAAAAAAAAAATCTATTTCCCCAAGTGTATATATATATATATATAAATATATCAAAACATTCACTCGTAGAGAACAGTTTCTTATTGAAAACTGAAATCTTGTTAATTACATCTTGCTGTAAAAAATCTTTTACCAAGAATATTTTCATGAAAAAGAATTTCTTCAAAAGTATATTCCATTAATTTTCTATAATTATTTATTTTCAATTTAATTATATAATATAAATTTTTTATTTTATCTTTATAAACTTTTAATTATTAATCGCAATGTTTTTGTTTTTATTACAAAATTTATTTTCGATAAAATTAGATCAAAAATAATTTCCTCAATATCTATATATATATATGAAAAAAAGAAAAATTTTTAAAGAAATTTTTTTTTTTTTTGTTCAAAAAAAAAATATTGTTTGATTCACATTTTAAAAATAAATAATTGTCCATGAACTCATGTCCCATCAGGCGATTACGGTGAACAATCACCTCGCCGAAAAAGTACACGTTTTTATAATGTGAAGACTCTATATTGAAGAGCAAAATGAAAATCAGAATTAACACACATTGGGAATCTTGACTCTGGAATAATCTAACCTTGGAATCACAACGTACCAATGACTTCATGGTCAAATGATCATCTCTAAATATTGAAAAAAAAAAATTAAATTTTTTCCTAAAAATGTAAAAAAAAAATGTACATAATTTACTTATATACATATTTTGAAGATATTTTCATAAAAAGACCATAGATATTTAAATTTATAAAAAAAAAAAAAAATTTTCTATAGACTATATAAAAGAGTAGGAAGTATACTAAAATGTTTTCTGAGAAATTTTTTAATTAAATAGATTAATTAAATTTTGTATTTTTATTTTATCGTTAAGTTACTTTTAACTAAAGAAAATTATTTTACAAATAGCTTTTTTTTAATTAAATAATTTATTATTATTAAAGGTATTAATTTATTTTTAATTATTATATTGTTAAATAAAATAATTATTATAAAATGTTAAATAAATATAATATTTTTGATTTAAAAAGTAATAATTAATAATTTTAATTAAATTAAAACAATAATTCATTTTTAAAAAGTAATTTTTCTTTTTTGGTAAAATTTGCTTTTTATAAGAATGAAAGTATGTGTGTGTGTGTGTGTATGTATTTTGAATTTATTTATTAATCGATTATTCCCAGGTTTACTACATTTTTAAAATAACTTAATTTTCTCCATTAACATGTCCTACATTTTTTTTCGCTCCATTGATTATGAACCTTGAAATGTGTCGTGTGGCCTTTCCGTTTCTTTATTTTCGACGATTATTCTTTTTCAGAATAATTTGTATATATTTTTACCTTGAATAATATAACAATGCAAGATGAAAAAAGGTAATTATCAGGTGATAAACAATGCGTGGCACGTGCCAATAATGAATATATGTTATATGTTCGTATATATAAGATGTATATGCAATTTCAAGTAAATAATTAAACAATATATCATATATTCCACGCCAAAGTGTAAGTCCATCTGCAATTGCATCTCCGATTTTTTTGAGATTTTTTTTTAGTACTAATTGAGACTAGCTTCCATGAATTTTTTCAAATTTTTTTAGCAAGCCGTTTTCGAGTTATGGAATTTTGAAAATTGGAGAATTTTCATGACTTTTAATTTTTCAATACTCATATAACTTCCTTAAAAATGCATCAATTTTAAAAGTCTTTTTTTCAAAATGTGTGTTTTTAAACGTACTTTTCAAAAAAAAAATCGAAATTTTTTTTCAACAATATTATACTATCAAATTTTTTAGTTTTAATGATAAAAAGTCGTTTTTCTCATTTGACGTACTGATCAATATTTTTCAAAATTTTTTTCAAAAAAACTACTTCTTTTTACGAAACTTTTAAGCAAACGATTTTTACAATATTTTCGGAATTTTTCAAAAATTTTTGAATTTTTTAAAAATTCTTTTTGGTTTTTTTTTATACAACGCACTTTTATGTATTTTGATGTACTTATTGCGAAAATCATAGTGACAATACCTGAAAATTTGATTTTTTATGGTGAAAACCATAAAAAAAAGTCCCAGAATTTATAGTTTTTTTCGTTTATTGGGTAAAATATGCAAAATAAAAAAAAAAAATGCATAAGATATAAAAAATGTATTTTAATAAGATCTACAACTTTTGTTTCAACATTTTTTCTTAATTTTGCATATTTTACCCAATAAACGAAAAAAACCATAAATTTTGGGACTTTTTTTTATTGTTTTCACCATAAAAATCAAATTTTCGGGTATTGTCACTATGATTTTCACAATTAGCGCATTAAAATACATAAAAGTGTGTAGTATAAAAAAAAACGAAAAGAATTTTTAAAAAATTCCGAAAATATTGTAAAAATGCCCATTATCGGGCTGGGTTTAAAAGTTTCGTAAAAAGTAGTTTTTTTGAAAAAATTTTGAAAAAAATCGATCAGTACATCGAATGAGAAAAATAATTTTTTATCATTAAAACTCAAAAATTTGATAGTAATATCGTTTAAAAAAATTTTTTCGATTTTTTTTTAAAGTACGTTTAATAACACACATTTTGAAAAAAAGACTTTTAAAATTGATGCATTTTTAAGGAAGTTATGAGCATTCAAAAATTAAAAGTCATGAAAATTCTCCAATTTTCAAAATTCCATAACTCGAAAACGGCTTGCTAAAAAAATTTGAAAAAATTCATGGAAGCTAGTCTCAATTAGTACTAAAAAAAAAATCTCAAAAAAACCAATTTTTTACGAATCAACAATATTTTTTGATTATTTAATATTTTTCTTTATTGTAAATATTTTTTTAGTTTAAAAAAAGACAATACGATTATGATTTGATTTGCATGAAAAAAAGTATTTCTAAAATTGGGAATGAAAATTTTCTTTTATAAAAAGAAACAATTTTCTTTGTTTTAAGAAAATATTATCAAATATAATTTTTTTTAATTTATTTATTTGAAATTGAATAATTTTTAATTAGGAAAAGCAGTAGTTTTTGTATTTAAAAAAAAAAATATTTTTTTTATTATATATACTATATTATTTTTCCTAATCAAATAAAAATTTATATGAAAAAAATATGTCAAAAAAATTAATAAGTAAAGAAATAATTAATTTCTTATTTTTAAAACATTTTTTATCACATCATACACCTGGATGTATATTTACCTATATATTTATTAATTTCATTAATTTATGTACTCATTATATATCCAAAAAATTTGTCTGGAATAATAAAAAAGTAACAGAAAAATATTTTATGCAAATAAAGTTAAAATATTTCTTTTTTAAAATGAATGTTCAATTTTTTTTTTTTAATATAAAATGTTTTTAAATTTTATATCAATAAAAATTGATAGATTTAAAAAATTTTGATAAAAATTCTTGTATGTAATATAATTATTATTTAGTAATAGAATTTTAGTTAAAAGTATATATGTAAATTAAATTAATATTTTTATGAAAATTAAAAAAAGTGAATAAAAAAAATTTTTCACCTGATG